TCCCAGTCGTCTTCATCCTCCTCGCCAGGCGGCTGCTGTGGGGGTGGCAGTGGTGGGATCGTGTCCGATATGCGGCCAAAGGCACCCCCTGGAGCACCGGGAGCGTTGTTGTCTCCACCGCCTCCAGGACCCTTGCCGGAAATACCTGCAGGAAAAAGGGAAGACCGACACACCATGAAGTTGGCGGTAGTTTGAGACTTGCAACTGGTCAGGGCCACATTGCTGAGATCTGGGTGTCAACGACAGAGAGGAGCCCAGTCAGGAGCTGCAGCTTGCCAGGCTCAGCAAGATTAATGGGAAAGCATTTGTTCAGCTACTCAATCAGCGTTTGGCACTCGTGGAAATCAGACGGACGGAACCAAGGCCGGGAACGTATCAGCGTTCCACATCCCTACCTTCGGTGGCAGAGGGCCAAGGCATCTGTCAGTTCTGAGAAAAAGGTGCAGTTCTCCAGCAGGACAAGGAATGAGGAGACTTATCGGCCGAAACAAGTGGATTCTAATGGGTCAACGGCACCAAGCTTGGGGTGAAGTATCCCTGAATGGTGATGACACCTTTTGCCAAAGCGAGAAGCCATACTATGTCAAAGGCTCAGAGGGCAAATGTAAGTCAGCCTGATGTCATCAGAGGGAAGAAAACAATAAGGGTCCAAATTACCCACACAACTGTCCTTAGCACTAGGGTCAGGGAGAAAGCCTGCAATTCCCTGGGATTGCATCCCACTAAGAGACAAATGTGTACAATCCTAAGGGGAGCCCCAGTGGCCAATATCGGGACTCCTTGCTCAACGGAGAGAAGCCTTGGCTTTCTGCTGATAGGAGGTGCACCACTGTCGCTTTGTGGGAGCTGGACCCTCAGCCTGGACCTGGAGAGGAGGAGCCTGCTATATGCTGATGTACCTTTGCGCCGGAGAACCAGCTTGTTGAAGAGATCCGACATCAGGTCTCCGCCTTGCCCCGTGGCTCTCACTAGAGGGGGAAAAACACCAAAACACACCAGTTCCATGCGGCTGGCCTGCTAGACTCAGATGCAACAGCCACGCTTGCTAACCACAGCATGTGTCGTCTCCGATTCTCATCGCAGCCAAGCCTGGGAAAACAAAAGGCTGGGCCAGAGAGAGACGGATGCCAACAAAGGGCAAAGCTAAGCTGCTTCTGTGCTTCTCGGGGCAGGAGCATCTCACCTGCCTCCCTGCAGACAGGAGAGCCTGACTGGATTGCTGTAGTGGGGCCTCTGCTCGGGAAAGGGGGAGTCTGGCTGGGGCCCTGCCCCTTCCGGCTCCTGTTCAATAACCAGCTGTTACCGGGATTTGGGCCGGGATCTCCCAAATTTCCTTTTGGGCACCCGCCAAGGGTTTTTAGAAAGTGGGCAGGGCCAGGTGGGTCATTTGCCCAGCAAGGCTTCTGATTGGCATTTAAAAAAAATTGTTTTGGCAACAGCTGCCACTGCGGCACGAAGATCTTCACCGTGTGGCTGAAATTATGCTGTGCCGATCATTCTGTGGCTGGGTCGGCCTCCTGCGGCAGCTGCACCCACGATGTCAGAATTCCAAAGGTGCCCACGGGCTCAAAAGGGCTGGGGCGCCCTGGGTTAAGGGTCTGCCACGATTAGACCAAGCCCACCCATGACTGGAGGAACTCTCAAGCTCCAGCCGGGAAAGGGGAGGAACGGGGCGGGGAGGTAGCACCTTGCTCTTGCTCCTTCTGCTTCTTCTTCTCCAGCTTCCGCTCTTTGACATTGCGGAGCTTTGCCTTCCCAATGCCACCGGCCTGGCGGATGGACTCGAGCAGGGTGGCCCGGCCACTTGAAGGGTTCACAACCTCTTTTGGTGCCCCTGGGAGAGCGGCTGCAGAGGAAAAGGCAACAGGATCTTTGCACCTGCACGGTTACCTGTTTGTCTCCTGCAGCCCAGCGAGTCTCCCTTCCCCACTCCTCCAGTAGGCCTAGCGGTGAGCCTCACGCCTTACCTGATGGCGCTGCATTGCTGTTCCCTTCACTCATTGGCTGGAAAGGCTGAGATGGGGGTGGGGCCTGGGGAGGTGGTGGGGGCGGTGGGGCACCAG